GCCTACTTACAGCATCAGATTGAATCTCGCTATTAAATAATAAATTGTGTTGTTTTGTGTGTGTTTTTTTTATGTAACTCTTTAACCACATAATGTTTCTTACATACAGCTATCTCAGAGAAAGGACTTTTCCAAGGTATTAGAGCGGATAAAAGCCTAAAAGCGAATATTATAACGTTGAGCCTGTCTAAATATTTACTTAGGACGATGTACGTTTGGTTGCATAAATAGTATTCGCAGTTGAGTTGATGTTTGAATTAAGGAGCAATGACAACGTCAATATTTAAGGACCAATGACTAATTTTTATGACCCGATACGAAATATAATAAAAATAATTTTGAATCATAAATACATTAACAACGTTAAACTATCATATTTTAGTTTTTCTATATATACAGGGTAGTGAAAAAATCTAGCAACAAGACATTTTCATTTATAAGTTAAATTATGAAATTGTAGGTAGAGTGATATATCTGAGAAAAGCTTATTTTTTCTATAAATAAAAATTTCCTTGGTTTATTCGGTCATGTTTTTATTTTTTATCGTATAGTACAGCACTACATATGTTTCGGAATTTTTTTTCCATCTTCGGGCGCAGTTAAAATTTAAAAAATAAAAAAAAAACATGGGGATGATTAAAAACAGTTTAAACATTTTTTAAAACCACAGAAACCTCATCTTTATGTTTCACGGCATTGATTCATTTGATAGAAAGAAAAAATTTAAGATTTAACATAAAAGTTGAACCTGTCAATTATTAAGCATAAATATTAATGCTAATACTAATCATAAATCGAGTATAAATGTCCCCTTTACATTGTGAAGGTTTACCAGGTTTTACTCCCGACCCACTTAATATTAAACTTGAAAAAACATGTTCCAGGTTCTCATAACAACTCTTCTGTAAATATGAATAGTAAATATTTAGAACAAGGAATACCCGATTCAACGTTTCTAACTATGCCAGCTTCGCATTTGTTTGCTTTTTCCGCTTTGATTGCTTCACACCACATACTCATCACAGCATACACAAATATGTACTTATATACTTACTGTTATACCACATCCACGAAAAACCTAGCGTACTAACAAAAAAAATATACAAATTAAACTTTCACGCTTGTTTTATAATAACTGTATTTTTTAGGTCGGGGATAGTTATGAAAATTAATTATCATACACACTATATAGTATGCTTGACATAATAGATACTTATAATAACACTTTTCTACTCCTCTATTATAATTTGTTAATATTTAGTTTCATGATAGTTACTTGCATAATTATTTACAATAAAGAATGTTTATAGGTATTATATTGTTACGCAGATTTTTGGTATCTCAATTTATTTCAACTCAACTTTTATAACTTAAATATTCTACTAATATCATAAAACTGACTATCTGATGTCAGGATTATGAGTCAGGATCAACGACTTATATAGCTCGATTTAACCTTCTCGAACGTCCAGATGTTTCTTGACGTGGAATGACATTTCTAGACATTGCCCAAATATTTTCTCTTCCTATTTTACTCACACCTTTACTTATGACGACTGCAGCATATTGTAAGATGATGGACAACAATATTTAAGGACAAGGATATTTAAAAAATTAAAATTTTGGCAAAATAAATTAGGTAATATTATCTAGATATGCCTATATTTTAAAGTTTTAATTCCTTTCAGTTTCCAAGAAAAAAAGAGCTTTGAGTTATGAAATATCATAATGAAAATAAATGCATTCCTCAACAGCATTATTCTTAATTTAATCCCGAAAATTTGAGCTCTTATTATCTTGTTGATGATTTTTTAAAATTCGCCAAAATTAGTGGCTAAAACGCCTCGTTAAGTGCTGCCTTCTGGTGTAACGCGCCTGTAACTATCGTATCGTACTCTCAGTCACCATTTGTCTCTTGCAACGATTTACACCACTTTACATCAAAAGATATAGTCGAGGCAATGAAGCACTAAAAAGGCCAAAAGACCAGAATTTTTTAGACTAAGACGGATCGGAAAGCGATTTTTTGGAAAAAAATGTCCCTACTTTTTATCTTATACAAACCGGAAATTGCATTGCTGCAGCCAAAATGCATTAAGAAAATGCATCTTTTGAGACGGCTTTTAAAAAATTAAAGAACTTTGTAAATAAGAGTCAAAACAGGTTCAAATTGGGTTCGCGAGGGTTTTCGAGGTCGCTGATCACGATTATGATGTTCAAATTAACCCATAGCCGACCTGAAGCTCAGGAACGTCGATGAACGACATCTCCGCGGGACCCTCCCGAAAATCATGTGGGGAAAAAGAGAAATTCTGCGCCTGGGGTTTTTTTCGGTCGCTGAATTGAAATATGGCATCAGCAAACTCCCCCGGACACCTGATGTGCCGGAATCTGGATATAGACGTCATCCCCGAGAAATTTCCTGACAAGATCGCTAAAAACAACCTGAAAGTGATTGTGGAGGAGTTTGTTTTGGGGCGCTGAATCCAAATTTCACGTCGAAAAACGACCCCCTGAACACCTGATGCACCGGAACCTGGACACCGACCTCATCTCCATGAGTTTTCCTCACACAATCGAAAAAGACGGAACAAAATCGTTTTTTCGGGGTGCTGAATTCAAATGTGGCTCGACGAACATCCCCTGGCACCTAGTGCGTACGAATCTGTACGTGGACGTTATCCCCGAGAATTTTCCTGACAAGATCGCCAAAAATAACCCTAAAATCATTGTAGGGGCATTTTTTGGGCGCTTGATCCAAATTTCACGTTGAAAACGATCACCTGACCAACTGGTGCACCGGAACCTGGACGCGGACCTCATCTCCGTGGGTTTTCCTCACACAATCGAAAAAGACGAACCGAAAATCGTTATGGGGTTTTTTGAGGCGCTGAATCCGAATTTACCGTCTAAAACGACCCTCCTAACACCTGGTGCACCAGAACCTTTATCTTGACATCGATGTCATTCCTATAAAATGTCAACCAAACCTGATGTTTTAGAGACGGACGTCAATACTGCAATAGCTGTGTGGAATTGTTGAATTATGTGAGTAGGAAAGAAATCGAATGAATAGAAAGTCGATATTTATGTAATTGGCGTTTAAAAAATTTTTATTGAATTCAAATCAAATATAATCTAACTGTAACTTTACCTTACCTCATTAATTAATAACTTTTATTTTTAGATACATAACTAAACAACAAATTCTTTATCAAGTGACACATCACTAGTCTGTTTATTTTCTTCGTCATCGACTGACGTATTCATAAGTAGAACATCTTTCTCATCTAAGACCTCTTTTTCTGCCGGAATAACGTTTTCAACTGAATATTTTTCATATACATATATTTCACAAGTAAGATTGCAAGGAAGGCCGTGCTTTCTGCAACAATAGATTACAATCTCTTGCGCATCCACAGAATATTAGTTCCATAATATTCTTGGGCGCAGGTTTTTGTGTCATTTCTACAGGGACCAGTGTGTCGCCTTCCTTTCTCCACCCCCATTCTCTTGCGCCCATGGTCAGCTGGTCTCCGTGCAACCAATCTTGCACTTGAAAATAGACCCTTTTTAGATGTTGTTGAATGGCGTCTAGTGTGGGAAAAATTTTTCATAAATTTACTCTCCCCTTTAGAGCGGTTTTTATGTAAAAAGAAAAGTGAAAGACCACTCGGCAAAGTTCGGAGATCTAGTCGGCGATTATTTTCGTAATTCTCCTCGCTCTATTCAAACCCGGCATTTAGAATTTTACAGAACTGGATCAATTTTTTCAAGGGCTCCAGGCGAGAGTTACACTTCAATGAATGTGTGAAATTATGAGACGATTTTCGGTTAGTCTTTTGCGATCGTGTCTGGAAAACCCTCAAGGACGACGTTCAGCCCGAGGTTCTGGTGTCCCAGGAGTTGGGAAAGTCGTTTTCAACGTGAAATTCGGATTCAGCGCCCCAAAAAAAACCCCTATAGCAATTTTGGGTTCGTCTTATTCGATTGTGTGAAGAAAACCGCATTCCGTTCCGTCTTAGTCTAAAAAATTCCACTAATTTTGACGAATTTTTAATAATCATTATCAAGATATTAAGAGCTTAAATTTGGGGATTATATTAAGAATACTGCTGTTGAGATTGAGATTTATTTTCATTATGATATTTCAAAATTTAAAGCCCTTTTATTTTTTTTTACTGAAACTGTAGAAAATTAAAAGGATTGCTGTAACCTTAATAAACTTGTAATCATTAAAAATTCATGGAGATTAAAAATGTTGAGGTCGTAGGAAAAATTGACGGAAAGTGAATTTCTTCAGTCGTGTGAATTTGATCACTTTTCATACTTGTTATGTAATATACTATTTTATTGATTGTAATATCATTACAACTTTAAATAATAAAAATAAAATGTCTCGTAATACGAACACAGTAAAAAATGTAGCAAATTTTCATAGCTAAATCCCCGATTTATAAAGTGAACACCATATATTTATATACGACGCACAATCAGCTTCTTTTTACCAACTATTATTTTTTGTGTATGTTTTTACAAGAATTATTTCTATTGATTACCAACCTATGAATATGTTTTTTATGTAGAAAATCAGAATGCTAAATAAGCTGTTAATTTATAAAATATTTATCACCAAACTATATACATTTAAATATATTTAAAATTTTTAAGATATTAATAAAATTATCATTGTATATTTGTAGTTTTGACAACTAACGCATGCTTGGTTCAATCTTCAGTCATTTTAAGGAATATTGAACTATTTTTTAAATGGAATTTGAATTATTTTCAATATGACATCATTTTGATTGCATAATAGATTTTACCTATTATTATCTTTATAGATCATTTGTAATTTTGACAACCGAAGCATGCTTGGTTCAGTCTATTCAACAATTTTAAATGTAACTGAAATATTTTTTTAAATGCGATGTTAACCTCTTTCAATTCGACATCATTTTGATTGTATTATATATTTTAACTATTTTAATTATTTACAGATCTACTAAATCAGAAAAATTATACCCCTCGATGCTGCATCGTAATACAGAACCCGAAACAGAGCCTTACTATTGTCTACCAATTGGCAGCCTTAGCCACTGGTCACAACCTACCAGTCCGGCCCCCGGCAGTGCAAGGACGTTCCCGCTTTCCCCCACACATTCTAGTACACCAAGACATAGTATACCGAAGAATGATGATGGTAAGTTTAAATTTTACGATATTGTTCAATAATTATGTTATTAAGGAGTCTATTCAGTAATTTATCGTTTACGTACGAGATCATTAAGCTAAGCAACCAGATATAGGTCGCAGATAGATTGAAATGTTGAGAAAGTGAGCTATCCACTCCAATGTCTACTTTTGCCAATGATGTTATGTTTGTTTAAATCTTTATATCCGTTATTAATAAAAAAAAAAATAACTCGAGAACAATATGAATTGTGTCTGTTGGAATTGGAGGAGAACCAGCATTTCAGACAAAACAAATTCGATGTCATCACCCCTGATATTTTAGCATTTCAGACAAAACAAATTCAATGTCATTACCCCTGATATTTTAAAAACGACAGGGCCGAAAAAGTCTTTTTAAGGATAATTTATAACAATTAAGGACAGCTGGCAGTCGTTTATGGCCCTACGTTACTCCTTCAGCTTTTGTTCTCTGTTGTCAAATCTTTAGAAGCTATTTCAACGTCTACCCTGTTCCTTTTCTTCGTCTTCGATTCTCCAGAGATTCCTTCAACGTCACTTCGTCGGCTTCTCTTATTCGGCTCTTCTTTTTCGTCGGCGAGTTTCCAGAGGCTTTTTCAATGTCTCCCTTGCTTCCCTTCGATTTCTAGTCCCCATATACTTCTTTGATGTCATTTCTTCGGTATTGCTTCTTCGTTTTTCATCGAAATACTTCTTCAACGTCTCTCTTGCTATCCTTCTTCGATTTCTAGTCTCTACAGGCTCCTTTGACGTCACTTTTTTGGCTCCTCTTCTTCGTTTTCCATCCAGTACTTCTTCAATGTCTCTTAACCGAAGAAAGATTCGACTACGAGAATTCGATAACCAGGTTACCAAAATGGCCATCACATTTCATCACATTAACGACAATTTTGCAATAATATTTGACATTTTTTCAACGATAATCGTTGTCTACTCAACAACATCGTTATAGTTACTCAGTTACTGACTAGGGCACCTTTTTAAACTCTTTTCTCAGATGTATATGTTAGTAAATAATCCAGAATTAAAAAATCGGTTTCTAACTTAAATAAATATATTTTTTACAGTGCACGGATCGTCGATAAGTTTGGTTTCAACAGCCTCGAGTTTGTACTCTTCTGCTGAAGAAAAACAAGCACACGAAATTAGAAAACTACGAAGGGAACTGACAGAAGCTCAAGAAAAAGTTCACACGCTCACGTCACAACTCAGCACTAATGTAAGTGATATTTACATTAATTATTTAAGCACTATTTGGTATTTATAAGTTATTTTTTTAATTTCAAGAAATTTCTCTAACATTAGTCTGTGATTTTTGGAAATAATATACCTCTCTAGCTCTCATCTCTCTCTACCGTTCCAATAAATCGGCGCATTATTGATGACAAAAAATAAGCCAAACAAAGTTATTTATATACTAAATACTCCGTGACATCGTGTAGAAAAATGATAATCTATGATTATACTAGAACAAACTTCTAAGATCCTCCATTCATTCACAATTGTTAAATTTTCTAATACAGTCTGCCGTAAACGTTTACGGCAAAATATAGCCTACTATTCCTTTACCAATTAAACCACGGGAGCATATAGTTGCTACTGTTATGTGCCTTTATTTAGTTAAGTTGGTAACTACTGCTAAGTTGGCAACAACTGTCACTGGTCACACTGTCATCAGTAACGTATGCAACTGTTGAAGAAGATGCACTACCGACGACAACTTGTATAGTCGATGTCTTGTCTTGTATTAATAATTAAAGCCTTTTCAATAGAACTTGTTCGTTTAATATATTTACCACGTACAAACCCAGACAACACACCAAATCTCAGAGATATCCACAGAATATCTTTTGTGGATATCCAATATATCCACAGGATATCAGAAATATTCCGTGGATCTAATATGGATATCCAAATGTCCGTTTATATCCAGAATATAGAAGATATCCTATGGATTATCCAGCAAAATATCTAATGGGTATATATCTTCCAGACAACACAAGAAATCCCAGAGATATCCACAGAATATATTTTGTGGATATCCAATATGGATATCCAACCAAATGTCCGTCTATATCCCAGGATATAGAAGAATTCGGATATTCTGCAAAATATTTTATGGGTATCTTTAGTAGAGGTTCATAAAAGTAATCAACGATTATTGAATAACGTCGAAAGAAAATAGCAGAGAAAAAATATTTTCAACACTCTGCCTTTGATTTTGCCCACTAAGGGGAACGTCATCCTTATTAGGACTCTTCAGCAATAAATTGAGATTCTCGACTCCAGTGTCTAATGGAGTCTGATTGGGAAAAAAATTTCGATCGAACTCAATTACGGCGGGTTGAGCATGAGTAGATGCGAAAGTGGTATCGCCATCTATACTTAGTAAGCAAAATCAAAAATTACATCTAGTGGATATCCACGATGGTTTGCGTTCGCGCCTAGACTTTGATTATTTAGTGGATGTCCATGGGATATTGAATTTAAAAAAATTAATTTTAAATTTCTGAACGGTACTATTAGCCACAATGGCGAGCACAATGGCGTAATTTTTTAATAATTTGCTATATAATTACTTTTATTTATGAACATTTGCATGTCTATAAATTACATCTCATGGATATAAAATAGATATCCACCATGGACTGGACATTCAGTGGATATTGGAATGTTCAGTTAGATATCCAAAGGATTTGGTGTGCTGTCTGGGAACGTAACAGCTAAGACAGTCGAATTTGTAAATTCTGCCTCGACAATACAGACATTCTACTCTCTCCAGCTCGCTTAATTATTCCAAAAGTCATCCTTGCAACATTGTTGAAGGACCCCAAGCTTAGCTGCTACTACAATACATTCTGAGATCCTTCTTTCGTTTGCCAGTTTTTTCGTTTACCAGTGTTAGGCTAGGATTAGAAGGATCTTAGAACATATTCTAGTACAAGTTTTGACGTTGTTACCTTCACAAACTGCAGACATTCTGGAATTTTAAATTATTTCTTGATATAAACAAAATGTGGTTCGAGTTCGGGTCGGGGACCGGGTTCAAACGTAAAATATTTAAAATAAACCATTCACAAAATGTTGTATTTAATAATAAAAAAAAATGTAATTAATTCGAAATTTTATTAAAATCCTAAGTAATAAATAACCAAGGTTTGTCCTGGGCTACAATTTCAAAACAGCACTATAAAGGGGAAGTGGCATAAGTAAACATTAAAGCGAAAAATCATGCGCAGTGACAATGTCAAAAGAGCATTAACGTATATCTCAGTATTTATTGGTTTTAATCGAATGGAAAAAAACGGAAATATGAAGGAAATGACAACATAGATGAACGTTGAAGAAAAAGTTCTCGCGCAGTGGCAGTGACAAAAAAACATTAACATATACCGGGTGTTCAAATTAAAGTGTTACAGCTATATACCGCCTTTTATAAAAAAAAAACGTTTCAGACGCAAGTTTTATAGTTTTGTAGGGAAATTTTTTTTGGCTAAAATCGTTTTTTATAGCTAACCATAATATGGTCAACTTTTTTTTCGCCTAGCAAAATTTTCAAGTAGCTGTTACTCAAAAAGTAAAAGTCCAATGAAAAAAATATTTTCATCAAAAGTGTCTTATTTTTTTATGTACTTTAAGAATATGTAAAAAAAATGGGATTCCCATTTAAAAAAACAAAGTCCATCTCGATATGGCCATATTATGGTCAGCTATAAAAAAATGAATTTGGCCAAAATGTTTCTCCCAAAAAACTATAAAACTTTTATCTGAAACTTTTTTCTAAAATGCATATTTTCGGCGGTATTTAACTGTAACACTTTAATTTGAACACCCGGTATATTCGCTAATATTGGCCCGAATCGAATGGAAAAAACGAAGGAGTAGGGAAAAATGATATACTAATGCTGCTGCACATACTTCATTGCTAAACTTTTTTGAGTTCTAGCATAGTTTTCTATTATTTATATTAGTTTTAAAATTACAATAAAGAATACACAAACGGGTATTTAAAACCATTGTGGGAATCTCAATTATGACAAATATTTACCGCAAATCGACGTCTTATTTCATTAATCCATGGTATTATTTTTTTTATACTAACGCTGGTTTCAAATAATAATTACTTTCAGTGTTGATTTTTTTTTTTTAATAGTTTTCCGTTAAAAATCGATGAATACTCTTCCTGTCTTCACGTTCATTTTCTACATAAATAAATGTAAACAGTTAAGAATTGTCTATAGAATTAAACAGGATATATAGTAAACAGCCGTGAGCTAGTAATAGTAGTAGTAGCGGTACGCTGATTTTCAAACTACTTTAAATCTTCAAATAAAACGTTTTTAATGAAATTGTCAATTATTTTGAATTTTGAATTTTTCATGCACAGAAAAATTGTAAGAATTGTCATTATTTTTTTGAACTGTAGTCACAGATTACGAAAATATCAAAGGATTTTGAAATGAGATTTCTATGACCCTGGAATTTAAATGGGTACCTAGGGCGTATTTTAATAATTTTTAATAAGACTTTCTTATATACATATGCAAGTAATTAATGGTCTATCGTAAAGTAGTAGCACGTGATGTTTGAAAAGTTATCAAAGGAAGTTTAATTTTAAAGCATTAATGAAATAACAAATCTGTTCTGGTTTTTGTCTCATGAAAAAGCTAAAAAAAAAACAGGGTTGTTAAAAAGACATAAACTATTCTTTTAAATCTAAATACCTACTGCTGACTACCCTTTTACGAAGGTGAGTGTAAAATTTTATTTTACAGAAACTTGTTATAAAATAAACTACACTCCGTGATACGAGTTGTGACTAGTTTACAATTAATATTATATTTAGACATAAATACTTTATTTTACTTACATTAGAAGCTTTAAAAAGACATTGAATTGATTTATCGTTGTGTTTTCTTTAGTTTTACATCTGATTTGTATCCTGTTTTACAATCTGGAACGAAGTAAATCTTGCTTTAATGTTTTTTGTCACTGATGTTACTTGTACTCGGTTATTTTTTTTCACATTATTTTGATCCTTTTCGCCAATTTTTAAAAATTCATTTATTTTACATTGACTTATATAAAAAATGAACGGCAGTGCCAACTACAGTCAATTTAGCGAACTTTTTAAAAAGAAGGACAGATATTTGAAATTTGATCATTCCCGATTCGCCTCCTTATCTCTAGTCTTCATAATATGAACGTTACTACTAGAGACAACTCCATTAAACCAAATTGACAATTGACAATCATATCTCATATAAACACATACGTTGATTTTCTTTTGTATGTGCATATAAAACAAGAAACATGACAGACAGACAGGTTTGCAACCTCAAAATATAATATTCTAACACTAACTACTGGAAACGTTCATTCATTTTCCTTTATTCCATTCTATTTTTTTTGTCCAACTCTGTTTTTCGTTTTTCCATCCAAAAGCAATTAGTTTTTAACAAATAAAGAACCCAAAATACTTAAAGTTCTTAAATGGGCTATCATGTATACTTCGAATAGTCAAATTATCTTCAGAGTAAATTTACTATTAGAGATTCTACTCGAGCTGACTGCTGCTGCCTGAAGAGCCCCAATTAGGGCAAAACCGATTAGAGCCAGTCGCAAACACGCATTATATGATAAGTCATTCAATATCCGGTTGATGAAGTAGGTGTTTTTAGTTCTATTGCTTAAAAAACGTTTTTTTTTTTCTCCGATTGACATTAAATGTCACTTTTAGTGACATATTTCTAAACAACACTTTAGCTTACTTGGTTTACTGCTTAGGCATTAAAACATTACTTTTTCTTCTTTTCTCTTCTGTATCTGTAACGTGTGGAGGGTGGGTTACCCCCACTGCACTTAGGCCTCATTAGGCCCATTTTGCATCCTCCTAAGATGATAGGCACCTTCAGCTCGTGAGCCAACCTACAGATTTAATGTAGTTGACAAGTCGCCAAAAGGTGCTTCTCTTATATCGGCCGATGTTAGCCGATACTCGCCAAACACAAATCTTCTAATAAAAGCGTTGAGCAATCGTAAAGGATATGCTCGATGGTCTCATCTTCTTATTCGCACCCTCTATATAGTGCGGATTCTGACAACCCCATGATATGGAGGTGCTCCCGTACTTGGCAATGACCAGTCAAAATGACTGTGACTAGGCGCAGATTCTGTTTAGTCATAGTCAAGTATTTGTTTACTGTAGTGTTGTTAGGA